AAACCTAAAACTATAAAAAACTTGGAAGAAAACCCAGGAAATATTGTTCTGGACATAGGCCCTGGCAAAGACATCATGACAAAGACTTCCCAAGCAATTGTAACAAAAACAAAAATCGACAAATTGGAGGAGTCTCTGCTCAGAGACGTGATGCTTATTCTTGCTCTAATTTGAAGATAGTTTCTCACTGTTTTCTACCTCCTGTTCTTGCCAATAAGAAGTTTAGGGTCAGGCTATTTGTAGTTCTTTTGTAGATGATATATCTTCTTTCTGGCAGCATTTTCTTTTTTAAAATTTTATGTATAAGTTATTTTTGTTTCTTGCACTTTTAGGTTCAAGGGTACATCAGCCAGTTTGTTACAAAGGTAAATTGGATGTCATTCATTCTTTTAGGATAGGGGCCAGTGACTCCATCAGTGTTGCTGCAAATGACATGATCTCTTTCTTTGGTATGACTAGATGGTATTTCATGGTATATATATACCATATTTTCTTTATCCTGTCAACCATTGATGGGCATCTAGGTTGATTCTATGTCTTTTCTATTGTGAATAGTGCTGTAATGAACATACACATCACATCTTTATGGTAGAACAATTTATATTCTTTTGGGTATATACACAGTAATGGGATTGCTGGGTTGAATAACAGTTCTAAGTTCTTTGAAAAATCTCCAAACTGCTTTCCATAGTGGCAGAACTAATTTACATTGCCACCAGCAGTGTATATGTGTTTCTTTTTCTCTGCACCCTTGCCAGCATCTGCTGTTTTTTGACTTTTTAATAAAATAGCCATTCTGAGTGGAATGAGATGGTATTTCATTGTGGTTTTGATTCACACTTCTCTAATGATCAGTGATTTTCCTATATGCTTGTTGGCTGAGTGTTTGTCTTACTTTGAGAAGTATCTGTTCATATCCTTTGCCCATTTTTTAATGGGGTTGTAAGTTTTTTGCCTGTTAGTTTGTTTAACTTCTTTATAGTTTCTGGATATTAGAACTTTGTCAAATGCATAGTTGGTGAATATTTCTCCCATTCTGTAGGTTATCTATTTACTTTCTTGATAGTTTCTTTTGCTATGCAGAAGCTTTTTGTTGTTGTTGTTGTTGTTTTTCTTTTTGAGACAGAGTCTCACTCTGTCACCCAGGCTAGAGTGTAGTGGTGTGATCTTGGCTCACTGCAGCCTCCACCTCCCGGGTTCAAGCAATTCTCTGCCATGGCCTGCCAAATAGCTGGGATTACAGGAGGCTCGTGACCATGCCTGGCTAGTATTTGTATGTTTAGTAGAGACCAGGGCATCACCATATTGGCCAGGCTGGTCTTGAACTCCTGACCTCATGATCCACCCTCCTTGGCCTCCCAAAGTGCTGGGTTTACTGGCCTGAGCTACCACGCATGGCCGCAGAAGCTCTTTAGTTTAATTAGGTTTTCCCATTCATCAATTTTTTGTTTTTTCTTGCAATTGCTTGTTGAGTCTTTGTCATGACATCTTTGCCAGGGCTATGTCTGTAATTATATTTCCTAGGTTTTCTTCTAAGGTTTTACATTTAAGTCTGTAATTCATCTTGAATTGATTGTTTATATATAGAAAGGAAGGTGCTTAGTTCAGTCATCTGTATATGACTATCCAGTTATTCTAGCATCATTTATTAAATAAGAAATCATTTTTCCCATTGCTGCTATTGTCTACCTTGCCAAAGAACAGAAGGTCGGTTGCAGGTGTTTGGCTTTTTTACTAAGTTCTTTAATCTGTTCTATTGGTTTATGTGTCTGTTTTTGTACCATTACCATGCTGTTTTGTTTACTGTAGCTTTGTAGGAATCAGAAGTATATATTCTGATGCCTCCAACTTTGTTCTTTTTGCTCAGAATTGCTTTGGGTATTCAGGCTTTTTTTTGGTTCCATATAAATTTTCTTTCTTTTTATTTCTTTTCTTTTTTGTGAGACCAGGTTTCACTCTTCTTGCCCAGGCTGGAGTGCAGTGGCACGATCTCAGCTTACTCAAACCTCTGCTTCCCAGGTTCAAGTGATTTTCCTACCACAGCTTCCTGAGTAGCTGGGATTACAGGCACCCGCCACCCCTCCCAGCTAATTTTTCTTTCTTTTTTTTTTTTTTTTTAAGTAGAGATGGGGTTTCACCATGTTCACCAGGCTGATCTTAAACTCCTGACCTCAGGTGCTCCACCCACCTCAGCCTCCCAAAGTGCTGGGATTACAGGTGTGAACTACCTTACCTGGCCTAATTTTCATTTTTTGTTCAGTTCTGCATTTCCATTACAAATGTGAATATTTTAAATATTGTTTTTATTTATCCTGCCTGATATACATTGTTTCTTTTGTGCTGATTGTCTCATATCATTTATCATGTCTGGAAATTCTTATCCATTAACTTAATTCCCTGTGTAGTCATATTAGACTTTTTCATATTCTCTAATTTGCTTAACCTCTTTATATTTTTAATCTCTATTTTCGCTGTGTAACATTCCAAGTAGTTCCTGACTTATACATAATTTATGCACTTTAACTTCACCAGTTCTTTCTTCAAATGTGTCAAATTGACTGAGCACAGTGGGGCTCACACCTATTGTCCCAGAGCTTTGGGAGGCCGAGGCAGGAAGATCACTGGAACCCATGGATTTGAATCCAGCTTGGGCAACATAATGAGACCTCACTTTTACAGAAAAAAAAAAAAAAGAAAAAAAAAAAAAGTATTACCCCAACACGTGGTCCATGCTTGTATACAGTCACAACTATTTAGGAGATTCAAGGTCTCCTAAGAGACTTGAGGTACTTAAAAGGTTGAGGCCATAGAGAGCTATAATCGAGCCACTGCATTCCAGCCTGGGTAACAGAGCAAAACCCAGTTAAAAAAAAAAAAAGTTGTCTAATTCTTGAACTTCAGTTATTAATTCTTTTATTTCTAAAAGTTCTATTTTATTCTTTAAAATATTAACCTAATTCTTTATTGTATGATATTACATGCTTATTTTCATGACTCCCTCATTTCTTTCTTTAAATATTTATATTGAATTATTTTATATGCCTACTTTAACAGTTCAATTATCTGAAATCCTTGGAGATCTAAATTAGTTATTTTTCTAATTTTTAGTTATAGTGCCTCATTTTCTTATGTTTTTGATGATCATTGATTGTGAACTCATACTTGTTTGATTTTAATTTATGTTAATCATTGAGGGCCTCTATTAGAAGGGCTTTAATCCAGACATGAATTTATTTGTTTGTTTCTGTGAAAGTTAGGGGCACTACTAACTTGGGTCTCTTTTAGCCCTTGGCTTAATCAGAATTCTTGGGTTTAGCTCTTGTACTTGGCTTAATCAGCAGTCTGAGCTTATCACCTTTAACTTGAGTTTTGTTCAGACTCATCTCCTAAGGGGATGGCCCTGTAAGTAGTTCTCCCCTGTTTCCCCCCTTGTTGTTGTCTGCCGAGGAGTCCTCACTGTGATTCTATCAAGGGATTTTGCTTAATTGGTTATTTTTTTATTGAGAAGATGGCCCCCTTGGTAGTTACTTACTTTTCTTTCATAGTCCTATGAAAGAAAAGTTATTAACTAGGTTCTGTATTTTATAAACAATCTAGTTGGGGTTCTCCTTTTGCTATTTCTGTTTCACCATGCTGCCAGTTTTTTTATTTTACTATGTATCATTACCATCTACTGTCTACTGTCTATCATTACCTCTCACCTAGAAAGAAGAGCACATCCTAACTTATCCCCCTTAATTTCACTCTCTCCAATTTCAGTTTCCCGTATATGATTGCCAAATTGATGTTTCAGTGAACGTGTTAGACATGTTAGCTTTGAGATGCCTTGAAATAATAATTTGGAGCTCAGGGAAGATATGGATCCCAGAGATGTGTAGTTTTGTAAGCCACTAATAATTGATTAACAATGCCCTGGGAGTGATAAGGTTATTGAGGAGATTGGAGAGAGTGGGTAAAATAAAAGAAGATCTTAGAATACTGATTTCATGGGGAGGCAGAGAAAAATGAACCAGCAAAGGAGACTGAGAAGAACACAATCTAAGGAAGGGAAAACAAAAAATTAAGGAAAGTAGGGCAAGCCAAGGTAGAAGAAGGTTTCAAGGAAGGGCTGTTTATAGAATTAGATATGACCAAAAGGACACACAAGATGAGAATTTACCTTTAAGTTTGATCCTAAGAAGATGGATGACAATGGCTCATACCTGTAATCTCAGTGCTTTTGAGATGCTGTGGTTGGTAGTTTGCTTGAGCCTAGGAGTTTGAGACCAGCCTGAGCAACGTGGCAAAGACCCCATCTCTGTGAAAAATACAAAAAATTAGCTGGGCATTTTGGCGCACACCTGCAGTCCCCGTTACTTGGGAGACTGAGGTAGGAGGATCACCTAAACCCAGGAGGTCAAGGCTGCAGTGAGCCGTGATTGCACCACTGCACTTCGGCCTGGGTGACAGAGTGAGGCCCTGTATAAAAAAGAAATGAAAAAGAAAATGGATAATTAGTGTTGCCAGAATAGTTACAATGGAATGGGGACAAATGCAACTCTGCAGTAAGTGCATGGACCAATTGTATAATTTGCTAATCCTCTGACCTCTTCCTTAGTGTATCTGACCTCCACTGAATATATAATGACTCAATAAACTTTCTAGTACAAGACACTCTTCATTCACAAAAATATACACAATTGCCTTTTGATTTCTGTAGCTGAGAAGAACTACTAAGAAGAGGCAACATGTTTTCTAAGCTATGATAGTCAGTAGTGTCTACTTGGGGTTATGTTTATTCTTCAAAGTAAGGCCTCCACAGGCTCTGTACCTCAGCCCCTCCTAAATGTAACAACTTTTCACATATGGAAGATCCTAGTAAGCCAAATCCCTTCTGTTTGAAAATATTTTTCCAATCAGAAGGATAATGACAGTATCACACAAATATGTTAAGTAAACAGCTTTTTCCTTTTATATATTCTTGTTAACAACTAACATAACATTTTTTTTCTGCCTTATAGGTACCAGAGATTTGAAAAGGCATTTCTCCTAGCTGTTGACATTGGTGCTCGTGACCTGTTTATGGTGAGTCATTTTCAGAGATGATTTTGTGCTTTCAGTTCTAAGGCTGAGTAAGTTGTCAGCTTTTGTGACCATTAAAAAGGATTAGTGTCATTTGCAGTCTTAGACACATGGTGGGAAAGCATTATTCCATCTTGATTTGCAGGTTTGCTTTCATGAAACTGGTCAATAGCCATCTAGTATCTTTTGATTTGTTGACATTTTCCTTGCTGAGTCCAATGGATCTTTTATGTTTTCTAAGAATTTATAATTCTTGAACTTTTCTCTTCGTGTACCTTGATACAAGGGGATGACACCTATCTATCTAATAAGCTTAAATGTCTTTCTAATCCAGTCTCTGAAGTAAAGCTGTAGAATCCAGGACATAGGGGGAAACATGTCCCACAAATCTTGAATGTGCGTAGTTTGTCTCTTAGATTTCAGTGTAGCGTAACAAAGTATGAATGTTCTCACATGTATTTTTAAAGTAACCATAGTACAAAGTGTATCTAAGAGGTCAAAATCAAGTACATTCTGGCCCTCCCATTTATTAGCTACAGAACAGTAAAACTGACCAGTTTCTTATGAATCCTTGTACTCTGTATCAGGTTTCTGTTTTAAAAGGTCTTGCACCACAGAGCCACCTTGAAATCAAATGAACAAATTAAGAGTCCTTTCCTAGTTTTCCATCATATTCTGTTAGACAGCAACTTCATTGTTTTCACAGAAACAATAGAGCAAAAGCTCCCTGAAAGAAGAAATACTTCCAGAAGGCGCTTTTACCTGAATCTTTTGCACAACGAAGACACTGTATAGTTTAAATTAAGCTGGGATGGTTTAGATATTGTAAGACAGCAATTTCATTGTTGTCACAGAAACAATAGAGCAAAAGCTTCTTGAAAGCAAGAAATACAGAAGGTGCTTTTCTTGAATCTTGTGCACAATGAAGACATTTTCTAGTTTAAGCTTTGATGTTTTAGATATTATGCATTCATCACATTAGATCAGTCATCTTCGGATTAAGTTTGATATTTAAATTCTAAATGTACGTGATTCAATTAATTATACTTTTATGGATCATGAAAAAGTCTAATTACTTTCAAAAGTGTGAACATTCTATTGCTCATCATCTGCATTTTGTGATATCTAGTTGAGCAGGCATATTATACTGAGGGAAGATTTTATTATTTTCATCAAAATCTATACATGCAGAGATCACAGTGTCAGAAAATTAATTGCACTTTTTAGATTTTCCAGCCCCATTGACTTTTTTTTTATCTTTACCTTTTCACCTTTGCCACTTACCCCAATAAAAGTAGATTTTCTCCACATTTCTTTATTTTTTATGTCGATAGTTTCAATCTTTTTCTAGCCAAGAGAAGATCTAAAGAGATGAATATTTAAATGTTTGGTGCCTGGTAAAATTTGTCTCTCAAGGTATTATGTTCTGTACTGTCTAATGTTGTAATTATTAATTTATAAACATTATAATGAAAGGCACCTTCTAAATTTTTCTCAAATCTTAACCTTTTTCAGCTTTTGGTCTCAGTTTAGCCAATAGTAGTGTAAAGTGTCCAATATAAAATCTCCTTCATCCAACAGCCTTTCTATTGACAAGGCTAACCCTAACCCATGAGGATTTTTACACATAAAAGTTGAAAATTTAAAATAAGGGAAGTATAAAAATGGTTTTACTATCCATTTTATTTGAAAAGCAAACAGTCACTATTTAGAATGCTGCATTGTTACTCTTCATACATAGCTTTATTTATAGCCCAAAGGTCTGCTTTACAGAAGCTCAAAATATTGAGAGCATTAAAGTCTCAAAGTTCTATTTAAGCTCATGTATCTACTGTATACATTTAAGGTTCCATGTAGAAATTGTCTAAAAGAATTTATTCTTTTAATAGATTGATTCTTACTATCTAGATTTCATCTAGCCAGAGTTCTATTGACTACAGATTGGAAAATATTACCTTTTTTAAAATTAAAAGCTTGTAAAATAAACAAGATTATCTCTACTTATACATGATTTTCTACCTCTGAGATGTCTTTTTCTAAAAGACTAAAAATAATGACATATGAATCACAATGGGATCACACAAACTGTATCAGTTAACCCGAAAATAGTCCATTTTGTATTAGCATATTATCAGTAGTAAAAAGTTTCAAGACATACAACATGACAAGAAAGTTGATAGGGCTACAAAGCAGAGAGACTAAACGGGCTTACATTCCATATAAAGGAGTTAGAATTTATCTCAAAGGCAATAGGATTTTCTAAATCATTTTAAACAGAAGAGTGATATTATCAATATATTTGCTAGAAAACTTTCCTGTAAAGGTCCAGGTAGCAAATACTTTGGGCAGGCCTTCCTGCCTTTCTCTTCCTCCCTCCCTCCCTCCCTCCCTCCCTCCCTCCCTCCCTCCCTTCTTTCCTTTGTTCCTTCCTTACTTCCCTTCCTTTCTTCCTTATTTCCTGCCCTTCCTTCTCTCCTTCCTTATTTCCTGCCTGCCCGCCCTCCGTCCCTTCCTCTTTCTTTTCTTTCTTGTCTCAGTTTTTCACCTAGGTTGGAATGCAGTAGTGTGATCACAGCTTACTATAACCTTGAATTCCTAGACTCAAGCAATCCTCCTATCTTAGCCTCCAAAGGAGCTAACATTACAGGCATGTGCCATGTCTGGCTAAGTGTTGCAAATATTTTAGACTTTTTACAAGCCATACGGGCTCTGTTGCATCTATTTAACTCTGCCGTTATAGAGCAAAAGCAGGCATAGTCAATACATACACAAATAAGTTTGGATGTATTCCAATAAAACTTCATATATAGACATTGAAATTTGAATATAATTTTCAAGTGTCATGTAAAACTGTTCCTGTGATTTCTTTTCCAAAAACCATTCTTAGTTTGGGTTGAACTTGGATGACAAGTCACAGTTTGCTCATTCCTTGTTTAGAGTATGATCACTTAGGCTGCACTGTAGAAAATAAACTGAAAAGAGACAAGGCTACTAGGTGCAAGTGTAAAGTAAACAAAGAGATGGGTTCTTTTGGGCCCATTTCCTCAGGTCCAGCACCCTCATAGTAATATTCTCATATTTAGGGCCTGTTGATTAAACTCCAAGCTCTCTCAGTTACTAGCTGCATAATTTTGTGTAATTTACCTAAGTATGTTTGCTTTCATTTTATTACCTGTGGTGATGATAATACATAAATCCCTAGTGTGTTTTAAGTATCAAATGAATTAATAATATATATTAAGTATCTAGCATATTGTAATGACTTAATAACTAGAGTTTCTGGTATATATTTTATATTATTCACTTTTCAAATATTTAGGTAGTACTTCATTTTATATTATTTATATATTTGTCAGATTAACAATGCTGGAATTTCGTAATTATTGATATTTGGGTGTGTACAACCAAATAGGCGCTTCCTGAGAGGTTGGAATTGAATTAAGGCAGCCTAGTTTCAGAGTCCGTACTCCTAATCACTGTGGTGTATTGCCTAGAACTAGATTCATATGCATATATATTAATTTACTGTACAGTAAAAGTAGCATTTCAAATCAATGGGGCAAAGTTTCAATAACTTGTGTTGGTTCAACAGACTCACCATATGCCATGCAAAGAGTTAAGGTACCTAATATATAGAACCAATAAGAAGTAAGAAGTAAAACACCCCAATAAAAAGCTAGCAGGAGTTACAATCAGGCACATCACAAAATAAGAATAAGGCAAGTCACAAAATAAGATGACAAGTAAACACATAGAAAAATGTTCAGTCTCTTTTTCTGTGAGTGAAAGAATACTTTGGGCTAAGGTATCCAGAGACAGGCAGTCTTAAGCAGGTAGTAGCAGGGTACTTTGGTAAGCTTTTCTTGATAGCTTTATCAAAAATCATGTGACCATATATGGGAGGGTTTATTTGCGGACTTTCTTTTTTATTCCAGTGTTCTATATGTCTGTCTTTGTGCCACACCACATTGTTTTGTTTACAGTAGTTTTATATTAAGTTTTGAAATCAGAAAGTATGGGTCCTCCAACTTCATTCTTCTTTTTCAAGATTATTTTGGATATCTGGAGTCCCTTGGGACCCATGTATATTTAAGGATGGTTTTCTATTTCTGCATAAAAGACATACGAATTTTGATACAATTGCATTGAGTCTGTAGGTCACTTTGGGTAAAATTAACAGCCTAACAATATTAAATCCTCCAATCCAACTTCCTACTTTTACTGTACAGAAATGCTACTTTTACTGTACAGTAAATTAATATATATGCATATGAATCTAGTTCTAGGCAATATACCACGGTGATTAGGAGTATGGACTCTGAAACTACGTTAAATAGATGTGGTAAAAGTGGGCATGTTTGTCTTGTTGCTGATCTTAGAGGAAAAGCTTTTGAATATTTCACAGTTGAGTTTGATGAATGGTGGGTTTTTTTGAATATAGATTTTATTGTTGAGTTAGTTTTCTTCTAACCTAGATTGTTGAGGGTTTTATTGTGAAAGGATGTTGAATTTTGTCAAATGCTTTTTCTACCTCAATTGAGATGATTATGTGGGTTTTTCTACCTTCATTCTATTCAAGTTATATCACATTAATTAATTTTCATATGTTGAACCATTTATGCATTCCCAGAATAAATCTTACTTGGTCATGGTATATAATCTTACTAATATGCTGCTGAGTTCAGTTTGCTAGTATTTTGTTGAGGATTTGTGCATTACTATTGATGAGGGAAATTGGTCTTTGGTTTTATTTTTTTTTTTTTATTGTTATTGTCCAACTTTGGTAGGGTAATACCGGCCTTATAGAATGAGTTAGGAATTGGTATTATTTTCTCTTTAAGTGTTTGGTATAATTCACCAGTAAAGCTATCAGGGGTAGAGCTTTTCTTTGGCAGGAAATTTTTTATTACTGATTCAATCTCATTATTTCTCTGTCTATTTGGATTGTCTATTACTTTCCGATTTATTTTTAGTAGGCTTTGTGTTTCTAGCAATTTGTTTAT